ACATGTAAAGTTCTAATGCCAAAGATAAACAAAGGCAAAAAAAAAATGTATTTGAAAATGAGCAAAGAGAAACAGCAGCAACAACAACAATAGCAAATATCAACAAACTACTTTGTATTTATAATTATTATCGGTCCGTCCGTACAGCACTTTGTGTGCTCGTGTATCTCTCTCAGCTACACCTCGCTCGCTCTCGCTCTCTCTCCCTCTCGCTCTCTCAGCCATGTAGAACGTGTAAATTGAAAAACTATTTGGCTGTTACAGCAGCAGCGCTGCCGGCGTCGCTGCTGCGCACGATAAGGCGCAGCTAACTAAAAGTTGAAGGCCATTGCTGATACGCCGTGTGGGACGCGTGTGTTGGCAATTGTAGCTGTATCAATGTGTGCAAGGGTGTGCGTGTGTATTGTTAGCATTGATTATCTAAGTGTACACACACACACACATGCTCATACGTATGTGTAGCCAACAGGCACGTGACAATAGGCGTGTGCTGTCCATCTAGCATATATATAGCTCTATTTGCATCTGCATTAGAATTGGTTAGCTGATCTAACGCTGCATGGATTATTATTTGTTAACTTGTTACTTTTTACTTTTTACATATTTTTATAAAAAATTCAATTAAGGTTTAATTAGCGCAACTGATAATTTCTTAATTTTAATACATGTTTATTTTATTTTTTAAGCATTTAATTCATTCTATTTAATTTGTATTATAATGTTCTTAATCATTAAAGTATTTAGCAATTTTTTTTATTTCAATATTTTTTTTATTCATTGTAAATTGATTAGATTAAATTTTTATAATTTTATTTTATTTATTTTATTTTATTTTTTTTATTTTTTATTTTTGTATGTATGTAATTTTTTTTTTAATACAGGCATTCCTTTTTATTAATTTTTTTAATTTTATTTTTTTTTTAATTTTATTTTATTTATTATTATTTATTATTATTTTTATTATTATTTATTATTATTTTATTTTTTTGAGCCAATTGTTCTTAATACAGACTAACAATCTTAGCACTTTATGCATTTTAAAATGCTATTAATCTATTTTCTTTTTATTTTCATCATAAATTTCCACTCGTATTGTATTTTATTCGACAATCCAGTTATAATGCTCGTATGTTGTAATAGTTCCCAAATAAATATCGATAAGGAATACAATTATTTTGATTTATAGAAGGCGAGTCTTTTACGCTCTGCTGTTATACGAAAGTTAAAAAAAAAAGTTCACACAAGCAAGGGAAAGAGCCATAAATATAAATGTCATTCTGTGGAGAGGTCCTATAAAACGTCTTTAATTGGTTCTCAACAGCTCTGGCTCTGGCTCTCGGCACGCTGCGTATCTATTACAGCATCGCGCTTTGCTAAGCAAACAGCGCACGGATAATGCGGACATACACACACACATACATATGTATATGTATATATAAATATATATTTAACATATTGCGCAATTTGCTGATCGCTCAACTCGACCCTCCCCAAAAACAAAAACAACAACAAAAAACTCTCTTTGCTTTTGTTTTTGTTTGGCTCTGTTTGTGTTCTCAAGTGTTTTTTTTTTTCAACGCTCGTTCTACGTTTGCCTGCAACGCTGATAAGCATACACATACATATATATAATATATATTCTATATATACATATATGTACTTGTACAATTTGACGTAAGCAGCAGAAAGTAAAAGTTTTGCTACTGCCATTACACCCATTAATTAAACGTTTGTTGGGCGCTGTGCGGTGGCTCGAGGGGTGGATCGATGGGGCCGGGAGAGGGGGGGCTTGGCCATAGCATTGAAAAGCGCAAGTGAAAATGAGAACTGCAAATTGTGAATCACTTTATAAACTGCAATTCGCGTCAATGAAAACGAAAATTGAAATGAAACTGAAAATGCATTTAAATATATATATTTACATACATATATGTATTTTTGGTCTTGCTTATTTATGGAATTCAGCTGGCGCCAGCGCTATAAATCTTAAATTATTTATTGCTAATTATTTATTTATATGCCTGATTAATATATGAGATCATTTAAATTATTAATTGAAAACTTGTAAGCTTAATTGTTTAAGTGATTTATGCTGGAGGTGAATCAAATTTGACTGTTGCAAACGGGAGTGCACGACTAGTAGATACCCTTAATGCTGATTTTACAGTAATTATCAAAATTATCTAAAAATTATTTGACTGCTTACAGTTCTAATGCATTTAATATTTGTATATAAATTTATAAATCTAAATAAGTTTGGATCTATTTACACATTATTCCCTTTAAAGATCCGTTATAATGATTAGTGTTTTATTTACTTCTCAAATTCTTATAACTTCTCCTTTTCCATTTCAAATATTTATTAAGTGTAATTCCAGTATTTGCTGGAAGCTCTAGCTGCTATCATATGTTTCCCCCCACCCATGAATTGCTAACCTTACACTCTCCATGTGAAAATTATGTAATGAGCAGCAAATAGAAATTTCCATTCAGGCGTATATTTTCCTATGTGATTTGTGTGTGCTCCATTTCCAAATAGTATTCAATAAAATTGCAAATTGTGCTAAATTAGCATAGAATTTGTTGGAAAATGTGTGAAATATATGTATGATAATTCGATAAGAATATATTCTATATATTTCCATATGTATGAAAATCAAATTGTAATAGCAAATGAAAGCCGCGTGATCTGCGCTGCGTCTCTGCAAATTTAGAACGTTTGCAGAAAGCAAGAAAAAAAAAAAAGACAAAGAAAAATCAGAAAACAAAGTAAAATAAATAAAAATGCGAACAAAATTAACAGCAAAAGTTATTGCAAAAGTTTTCTCAACTGAAAGCGAAAGTTCTCTGCGAGAGATAGTTTAATGCCCGTTGTATACATATGTGTATGCATGTGTGTGTGTGTGTGCGTGTGTGTGTGTGCGTGCATACACATGTATATTTTTGCTTGTGCTATTAAATTTTATAAGCCACACAAACACAGTGAGAGAATAAAATAATAATAAAAATGAAAAAAAGCACAAAAAACAAAAAAAAAAATACATTGCGGGCGTCGCAGTCGGCGCCGCAAATAAAAAATCGCTTACGACAGCGCCGGGCCCCATGGCGCACACGCACACACAAAGCTTGTAGCTGTAATTGTTATTATTGTTATTGTTACTGCTCACACATACATACTTACACGCATTCTCGCGATCGTCCAGCTCAGTCGCACACCCTCAGTTTGCGGCGCTAGCGCTGGCTCGCTCGCACACATTTGCGAAAAAGTTCTTTGACGTTTTGTTTATTTATTTTGTTAAGCTGCGCGCGCGTCGTCAGCGACGACAGCAGCAGCAGCAGCAACAACAACAACAGCGACACTCGTAAGTTCTCTTACTAAAAAGCTTTCTGTGCGGCGCTCTCACGTGCTTGTTCGCTCTCACGCTCTCGTGTGCGCTCTCTGCATTTGAAACGTACACAAAGCACAAAGAAAAGCAAAAGTACTTCTTATCAGCTCTGCCTCTCCCCCTGTTCTTTGCATCGACCCTTCTTCCGCTGCTGTGCGCTGCATTAGAACTTTGCCCAAAAGCAGTTAAGATTAAAGCGCGTTGTAAAAAAATGAAAATAAAATAAAATTAAATAAAATGTGACTTACATATGCATGTACATACAGAAATAGTGCCAGCGAGGGTGGCTATCAATATTGTGGAATGCATATGTATGTTTATATGTATGTTGCTTTGTTTATGTGTTTGTGGAACACACATAAATTAGCATTAGCTTATCTATGCCATTACAATTGGCCGCAAAACATAAGCCCATGTACACCTAACCCCATCCAGCTTACAGCAATATTTTCATGCAAAATTTGCTCGAGCAATTAACAGTTAGCCAGCAGCAGTCAAAACATGGCGGCAACAAATGGCAATTAACACGCCACACACCACTGCGCAGTGCGCACGCACCCTTACCGCAAGGCACGCGGCGTGCGAGAGTGAGAGGGCGCATGGCGCACGCCTTTAGCCCGTTATCGGCTAACGGAAATGCAATTAATAATGTTGGCCCAGCAACCGCACAACTTCCGCTCAATCGTAGTGCAAAGACTGGTGTTCAATGACATATTACGATTTGTCCGATGTCTATGGACAGTGATAATGATATCAGGGCTAAATAGAAGACAGAAATGGGAGTAGTTTCCGTTTCCTCTTCCGTACTAAACACTGATATCAGTTGATAACGAGCGAAAGTTGTCAGGAACTAAAATCTAAATTTAGAATAGCACTGAAGCAGTGCGAAAATTTCAAAAAATGAGTTCAGAGTTCTATTTTCGATTATTCGAGCGATAAGAAAACACAAATTGTACAGTTGTCGATCTCTATTTGTTTAAGTGCGAATGTCTCGACTGAGGGCACGCCAAATGTGGGCCATCGCATAGAACTATAAAAGGAAGCCACCTGCTATACAACTAAGCAAATAGATATATATATACAAAATTAACATCAGTTCTTTCGCGAATTCTCGGGTAATTATGGCTCCACTTCTCTCACAAATTATCACGAGATCCAGATGTTATTTTTTTTTAGATTTGCAGCCACAAACTGGCTTGCAAATGTGTTAACAACATTATTTTTTGTTTCCTCTCGCCCCCTATGCTGATAAGAGCGACAATATTTTCGTATTCCTATCAAAGTTGAATACGTTCGACATAGTAATATTTATAGAAATTTCTATAGTTCAGGCAATGGCAATTATATGCTGTGTGACATGAAATTGTGTAATAAGTAAATCGCATATATTTTTATTTATTCATGCGTTATCCACGATAAAAATTATATTTGAAGTATTGAAAGTAGAAACCATATACATATACATTATATTATATTATAATGATACTTTTCGTTCCACTCGTCCTTTGTCCTGTATCTGAAATTTTCAGTTATAATAAGTAAACTCTTTTATAACTAGTAAACGACTTTTTTGAATATATATAACTAACATAGCTCCATATCTACATGCAACAGGTACAACACTGAACAAGGAGCTATGGACCAGCAATTCTGTTTACGCTGGAACAATCATCCCACAAATTTGACCGGGGTGCTGACCTCGCTGCTGCAGCGCGAGGCGCTCTGCGATGTCACCCTCGCCTGTGAGGGTGAAACAGTCAAGGTACACTACCGAATCTGATTAAATTATGGATTATAGAAATTATAGAGTTGTTCGTTTCTTCTGTTGCAGGCACATCAAACCATACTGTCAGCCTGCAGTCCATATTTCGAGACGATTTTCCTGCAGAATCAGCATCCACATCCCATCATCTACTTGAAAGATGTCCGATACTCAGAGATGCGCTCCCTGCTGGACTTCATGTACAAGGGCGAGGTCAATGTGGGTCAGAGTTCGCTGCCGATGTTCCTGAAGACTGCCGAGAGTCTGCAGGTGCGTGTAATCGAAACAGTTATCAAATTTCCCGTTCTCTTTACTGATCCGCTTTTGTGGTGTGGCTTTACAGGTGCGCGGTCTCACAGACAACAACAATCTGAATTATCGCTCCGATTGCGACAAGCTGCGCGACTCGGCTGCCAGCTCGCCCACTGGGCGTGGCCCCAGCTATGGCGGCATGGGCGCCGATATACGCGACTCACGTGACTCCCTGCGCTCCCGCTGCGAACGCGACCTGCGCGACGATCTGCAGCGCAGCAGCAGCAGCCTCAGCCTGAGCGAGCGCAGCTCTGCAGCTGCGGCGGCCGCTGCTGCTGCCGCTGCCGCTGTGGCAGCAGCCGGTGGCAATGTGAATGCAGCTGCCGCTGCTCTCGGCCTGACCACCAGCGCCGGCGAACGATCTCCCAGCGTGGGCAGCGCCAGTGCCGCGGCGGCTGCCATGGCCGCTGCCGTTGCGGCTGCTGCGAATCGCAGCGCCAGCGCCGATGCTCTCAACAGTCGCGGCGATGCTGGCAGCGATCGGGGCAGTGAACGGGGCACACTGGAGCGTGCCGATAGTCGGGATGAGCTGTTGCAGCTGGACTACAGTACCAAGGATAATAATAATACTAATAACAGTAGCAATAACAACAGCAACAACAACAACAACAACAACAATTGCAGCAGTAGCAGCACCAACAACAACAATAACAACAACAACAACAGCAGCAGCAACAACAACAATCGAGAGCGCAACGAGAGCAGAGACAGAGAACGGGACAGAGAGCTGTCCACCACGCCCGTCGATCAGCTGTGTAACAGTAAGCGCAGACGTAAGAACTCATCATCCAACTGTGATAATTCGTTGTCCTCGAGCCATCATGCGAATGCGGCCCACATACAGGACAGACACTACGCGCAGGACTCTCAGGTGAGTCGAGCATTAGAGCTATCAATATGTTGAGAAACAATGGAGTAAATTGTTAGGAAAAGGCAAGTTTGTTATTGAGGTATATCTGTAGATATATAGGAAATATGTTATAGAAATGATATAGATATATTATAGATGTGGTTAGATCCAAATTGTAAGAATTTTCAACTTAACTAAGTTTTATAAGTTGTGGAAAAAAATTAGATTATATATATTATAGAATATTTAGACTGGTTTCAAGTTTTTTTTACTAGAATTTAATTCTTCAAATACTCTTAAAACAATCTATGTTAAAAAAAAAGATTGGTATATATGTATTTAGTTGTGTATAATCTAAGTTTTACGTTTGTTCTGTTAAAAAAAAAAAGAGTTTAGATACTATGGATATCTTTTTATAATCTATGATCAAAGCTATTCAAACTGTTCGAATAGATTCATGCTCTTCACCACAGTTAAGACGCTGAATGCGAACTTGGCCACCTATAAATTAGATATATATATACATATGTATGTCATGTATACATTTATATATAAAAGTATATTAGCTAGTATATAGGCTGAGCTATACCCACCTTAATGTTACTGTTTACTGAAATTCGAATAATGCCGAATCCAATAAATATGATCGGCTGTTGCACCTGCTGCATGAAAATCCTCAACGTGGATTTGTATCTGCGCTCCGCATCGAGCCAATGTGATTGGCCCAGAATGTTGCACAAATCATCGCTGTCCTCTACTAAGGAATCGCAAAGGAAACAGAACGGAAATGTCTCCAACAGCAGCGCTATGACCAATATGATCGATGATATTTTCAAAAATATATCAGAGGAATACATCACGCCAACCATAGTTAGACCTAGCACAGCACCGATTAGCATAAACTGTATTGCGATCGTGCGGGCCGTAATGGGACGCATTATGTCACAGCATCTGGAGTGAACGGATAGTTGGATTAATAGACATATAAAAGATATAAAGGAAGATATGTATAGATATATTAGAAATGATAAATGAATGTCAATGGATGTAGATAGATAGAGCGATAAAAGTAGATATGTATATTTAGAGAGGTAGATAAATTATAGATCGATTTGACTTGAGAAATTAAAGATACACAGAAGAGATATACAGAAGAATGAAGATGGATGTGTATGCAAATAAATACAATAGCAATATAATAATAGATCGATCTTACTTGACAATGAGCTTGTAGTATTTAATGCCATTCACGAGCTCTTTGTAGTTCTCAGCCTCAGTCTTGTCCGGATCGGTGCGTAGTTTGCGTAAATGATCCTTCAAGACGTCGACGTGAGCTCGAAAAACAATCATACAAATGATGGGGCAGGTGTCCAGCACAATATTCATGAGCACCACAATATTTAGGGCGGTGAACTCAAGCAGTGTTTGCAGATAGAGTTGAACGGTTCCGTTCCGCCAATCGAAGAGCGGATTATAGATCAGCCATGGGGGCTGACTGGTGAGTATAGGAGTCACTACCATGGACACATTATACCCTACATAGGCCACGCTGTACAGCCCGCAGACATAGCTGCAAGTAGCAATAGCTTTGTGAATCTTCCTGCGATCGATATCATCCTTCAGTCGTGCGTCCATTTCATCGAGCGCGGACATTGTCTGGACCAAGCGAGAAAGTTGCGGGCACATAATAAGAGACTTCATCGTAATACCGCTCGCATTAAGCATGATTTGGATTATACCAATGATCTGGGCTGAGCTAAATTTCGCAGAGTCGAAAATTAAACTGAGAAACAAGCCGACGGGAATATAAAAGACTGACAGAGCGTTCGCCAAGAAGGACCAAACGAAATAAAGATAACGATTTGTACCCTGCTCGGGTGGCAGCCAGCCAACGAATCTTATAATCCGAAACATATATGAGCAGACGTCTCTCGACTTCATCTGTGCCACGAGTGGAACTGGCCTAATGAGTTTGAATATTCCGACCATAACGGTTTATGGTATGAATAGACCGAAACCTGAATTGCAACTGAATCGAGGAATGTGAAATTGTAATTGAGTATATGTGGAAATCGAACTGCTGTTCGATTCGCACCATGCTTGAAGTGTCCACCACGCCCAATACGTTACATGTCCTATAATTAAGTGGACCTTAGGCAGACACTTTGAGAATCCTACAATGAAATATGCAGGACGGGGTTTATTATTGGAATGAATGTTTAGATATAGTAAGATATAGATATAGATATAGATATAGATATAGATATAGATATAGATATAGATATAGATATAGATATAGATATAGATATAGATATA